ATGTTATCACCGTCAGGATTCGAAGGATCATCATCGAATGGAAGATAACCTGATAACATTGCATACTAAATAATAATGAAATAACGGTGGTGGTGTTAATTATTAATAATATGATGATGAATATCATAATCATAATTAATATAATAATGATAATTATTACCAGAATAACACCACAACTCCAAATATCCACAGCACTTCCAACATAAAGTCCTTCACTAATAACCAATTCTGGAGCAGCATAACATGGACTGCCACAAGATGTAGCCATCAAATCATCATTTGATCCATTAAATTTGTTTGCAAATCCAAAATCAGTAATGATAATGTTTCTATTACGATCCAATAATAAATTCTCCTGTATATATATATATATATTTATATATTTATATTTACATTAATAAACTATTTCTAATAATAATGGCGATACGAATTCATCAGATACAGCATCAGAATCAACAAGCTATCTTGATGAACTTAATGTAATAGATTCTAGGAGTAAAAGGCACGACGGAAAGAGAAAAGCTTTAAGTTTGATGGTTGATTCGTTTAAAAGTCCTTCCGGTCAACCAAATCTTAGTGTTTTATCTAATAACACCACTTTGACAACAAAAGAGAAAAGAAAAACTATTTCAGCTACATCATCTGGTAGTTCAAATGCTGCCAAGAAAGTCATGGATTGGTTTAGAAGAAAATCTTTGGGTAATTATTTATTTACATTTATATTTATATTTTATATTTTTATATTTTTTATATTTACATTACATTATATAAATTTTCTTTCCAGCTAAACAAGACATTCCTATTACAATTGATAATGACAATGTTGAACAAGCTGCAGCTTCAACTCCTGATTTAACATCAAATAATAACAATGGTCGTTCGTCAAAAAACAACATATTTAAAAAACCAAAAAGTAACAACAACAATCCTTCGGTAATTGTCACTCAACCAAATAGCATTGCAAATTCATCATCATCATCTAGACAATCCACAATGACGTCTATAAATCTAAACGTGGATGCAAAACTTCGTGTACATAATGGCGCTTTAGATCAGCTAGCATTGACGGAGCGACCACCTTATGAAGTATTTATAGTTGTTAAACAAACCTTGCTTAGTATGGGTATTGAGATTAGACGTGAAGGCGAATTCAAGGTAAAATGCCTTAGGCGTAAACGTAAAGGAGGTGTACCTATTGATAATAATTTCTATTCCAATAACGACAATAACGGTAATAAGGGTACCTCACAAGTTTCAGAATCAACAGAATCATTAGATGTTAACACAGAAAAGAAACGTAAAAAATATTCTTCAACGCCTTTTAAAACCTTATTGCGGCGTACAAGTTCCAATAATACGAATCAATTGGCATCTTTACATCCTATAATAACAACGCCTTCTTCGCAGCAACAGCAGCAGCAACAACAAAATAAGTCTGAATATCTTTCACCCCAAACACCTGATAGTTCAAGTTTACAACAACAACAACAATCTCTACCAGTGTCAACTAGTAAAAATAATAACAATACAATTGATAATAATGATAATAATAATAGTGATGGCGATGGTACTACACCTACTACATCTGTTGTTACTAACAAAATCTTATTGTCGTCGTCATCATATAACAACAATTATCCTATGATAACACCTGAAGTTATTTATGGAGACCCAACTGTAGATTCAGGTGAAGAAGTTAGATTTTCTGTGGAGTTGTGTCGAATCAAAAATTTACCTGGATTGTATATTGTTGACATAAAAAGATTGAAGGGTAATCGTTGGAGTTATAAATTCTTGTATCACACACTTTTGGACAGATTAGATCTTAAGGGGCAAAGTGGTTATTTAACTATTGGTACAAGTGGTGGTCTGATTTATTGATTCCTTGAAATTTTGAATAATTAATTTATATTTTTTTTAATTTCATTTTAAATAATAATAATATATAAAAACTGATATTATTTTTTTTGGTTTTATTTAAAACATTGACAATTTTAATTTTTTTTAATTTTTTTTTTAAATTATTTATAATTTTTTTTTTAATTGTTATTACTAATAATAATATAGCTGATCAAAGTAATAATAATAATAACGGATTGAGTCCGCCACTCACAGTTAAAAGACATACGATTCAAGTAGAATACGATTATCCTGACAATGACAATAACACCATCAATAATTTGAATGATAATGACAATTTCGTAATGAGTGAAATTGAAAATGGTATGAAATTTGTTGATTACCCTGACGAAGATTTCTTATTTGTTGATGGAACTCGTCTAGGTTCAACAATTCCTTCTGCAACTTCTGATTCAGTAGTTGACGGGATAGAAAACCAAATAAAAAATGATACGTTAATACCTATCAATGACAATAACAACATTAATGGCAACGACAACAACAATGATAATGAAATAATCAATAATTCTGATAATACTTTAGATAAACATCATAGTATTTCTTCTACAGCTTCTGCTACATCTTGTAAAAGTAGTGAAACAATGGCTACTAACACTCCACCAGGTACTCCATCTACAACTACCAGAAATTCAGCAAATGCAGGCTCAGGTCTATTCACCTTGTTTGAAAGTGATTCAATCACCAAAAACAATAATAATATTGATAAAATTAACGGCGACGATGATGAGAAAATCAACGATAGCAATGATACTGAAGAAATCATCAAGGTAAATGATGATAACAATAACAATAATAACAACGATGACGGTTTTGTACTGCCTCAAGAACAAATACAACAAAATGATCATTTATTAAAACCATCAGACCAGAATGATGCTCAGCACTTGGCACAACAACCTAATAATACGATTACGCTTGTTGTTCCAGGAGAAATAGAATCACACAAAAATTCATCTTACGCACCTAAACAACGTGATAATTCACGTACAAGACCCGTCACTGTACATGGACCATTATCGTCATTATCATCATCATCACCAACATCATCTACTGCTGCCGTCTTTAATAACAATAATGATTCTTCTCTTTTATCTACTATCGATTCAAAGAAAGATAACACTATTAATACTTCTAATAATAATAATTCATCATCGTCGTCGTCATCTAATAACAATACCAACAACAACAACATCATAAATTCAACTTCTAAAACAATAACACCATCAGCAGCAGCAACAAAATCCTCACCTTCACCTCAAAAGAAATCCTCACAATCACATAAGAGAGCTTTATCTACAGAAATAGTATACAAGCTTTTAGGAAATAGTAAATCAAATAGTCTAACATCTGATTTCAATATTAACAAAGCCAATAAATCCACATCATCACCATCAGCAGCAACGACAATTAAAACATCCGATCAATCACAAAAATTGCATCTAAATAATAACAACAACAACAATAATAATAATAACGATACGAATTCATCAGATACAGCATCAGAATCAACAAGCTATCTTGATGAACTTAATGTAATAGATTCTAGGAGTA